TGTATAAAATGAGACCATTTACGACACAATTTCTTACAACCATTTGATGTAAAATTTGATAGCTTGGATGTGTCACAAAGTTGGAGAAAATTTCATTTGAAGTTTGAGCATGGTCAATGGAATAATTGCAGCCACCTAATTTCACATCCCATGGTCAAAATTAATGTGACTACTTTATATCAAAGGTAAATGGTCTCATTCTATACTTCCCCATAAAATAAAGGAAAATTATCACAAATATACCTTAATTTTTGTCTATTTAGAAGAAAAAAACCTAACTTTCATAAACCTCGTCCATACCCTTTTTTTTTTCAATTTTGGGCATTTTTTAACCAAACTAACATTCACGGTAGTCGTATTACCATGAAGCACCATCACGGTACTTTAAGTACTGTAATGAATACCGCATTTTATACGGTACTTAGAATATCGTAATAAAACAAAAGACTCTTACAGTACTCGAATTATCATATACTATTTAAGCACCACAGTATTTAAAAATATTATGATACTTGAAGTGTCATAATCCTATTGATGCTTCATATGGTTGAAAAACAACCGTGATTGTTTCTAAACTTTCTCGCTCTTTCTCACAATTTTTTTCACCCTAAAAACCCTATTTCCCCATCCTACTCTCTCTAACCCCTCCTAAAAATACTATTTTCCTATCCCACTCTCTCTAACCCCACATCTCTCTTCTTTATCCTCCTCTCTGCCATCTCTTTCTTTCTCTTCCTTATCTTCCTCCCTCTCTAATCTCTCATCCATTTTCGATCTCCTTCTATTTTTCAATCTGTGAACGAGATCTCTGAAAGCTATTTCTCAATCCATGAGCATCAAATATACACACCAATACCATTTTATAGGTATGTCATCAAAATTGTCAAGCTTTTTATTATATTTCCTTAGATGGGCGAACACTATTTTCTAACAAATATTATGGTGTTGTTACTATAATACTTGATGTAGTTGGGTTGGCCTCTGTAATGCAACCTCGTCATTGTATATAAATATTTTGAAACCATTATACTTGCATTGCTTTCTTCTGTTATTGATACCAAAAAAATTCATTTCATATTTGTTTCCATCTTAAATTGGAGATCTCAGTAGTGATTGGGCTTGCACACACCAATAATGGGTGGCGACAGAGTGAAAATCGTTTTACACTTTGGTGGTTCTTTAGAGGAATTCTATTGATGGAGGTGTTTTCTGTGATGGTGGGGACCTGAAGGTTACATTTTTTAGGGGGATCCCATCCTTCAACCAAATAAAGGCTCACTTATCAAAAGTAACAAATTATGCCAAGTACCATTGTCTATTAGGTATATTGACCCCATGGTTACCAAGTAATAGGAATATAGTATGTATTGACGATGATGACTACATTGCAAATAGGATGGAAGGGTCTTTTCCCATTGCTATGTACATATCAAATAGACCTAGTGAGTCGGATTCCACCGAATCTCGACCACCAACAGTGCTCGATAATTATCCATCCAGATTGGTCATATAAGAAGTTTACAATGAAATTTATTTTTTTATTTGATAAAATTTTTAGTGCAGATGTTATGGGTTAGGATAATTCTCACTTGTTCTTCTAATATTTTTGCGACAGCGATACCTGACCAAAGCAAGTAGTTTAGAGTGAAGATGAGCATGATTAAAAAATTGAGGGTCATATCGACGACATTGATCTGATAGAAAGCCCCATCAGGATTGATCGTTACCAAGTTGTACTTCAACAGATCAAGATTTTGATAACGTGCAGGCATGTCGTAATCACCTTATTGATTATGCCATATCACAAAACTTCAATATCAAGTTTGTAAAAAGCGAGGAGAGGCAAGTATGGGCGAGGTGAGCCGCACATGGGTATTCATGGCAAATGCATTGTTTAAAGGTTAATTCAACAAACTTCTTTGGGGTGAAAAACGTGCACTCATGTGCTAGTGCAATCGGCAGGATTCATCAGCCCCTCTCTCAAAGCCAATGGATGGCAAGTAAGGTCAAATACCATTTGAATGATATGCCCAATTTAACACCTGGAGATCTTATTAATGATGTACAAAGTGATCATGGTGTCACGCTATCTTACCAACAAGCATGACAGGACAAAGAGGTTGCATAAGCTATAAATGACGGTTTCTGTATAAAGGTATATAAGGATCTCCCTAAGTACCTACACAAGATCCGAATACTAACCCTGAAATCGTAATGATTATTCAGATAAATGATTATGATAGGTTTAAACGTGTGTTTATAGCCAATCATCCATGTTTGTATATGGTTGCAAGCTATTGGTGGGACTAGATGGAACTTTTTTTAAAGAAAGATATAAAGGGGTACTATTGGCCGCAGTTGGGATAGATGCAAATGAAAATATATTTCTCATAGTATTTGCAATGGTTGAGAATAAAAATACACCTAGTTGGACTTGGTTTCTAAAATTGCTCAATGAGCAGTTTCAGGAGATGCCTAATCTACCAACTTTGTCTATTGTATCAGATCGTCAGAAACAGTTGCAAGCAGTAATTGAAGAAATATTCTCAACCAGTGAGCAGGGGTATTGTATGTGTCAACTAATCGATTATTTCAAAAAGGAATTTAGAAATTCAGCGCTCACAAAACTTTATTGGAAAGTGGCACGTGCAATAACTGTATCAATGTTCAATGAGTATATGTCAAAGATTAAGAGTGAAAATGCTGAGGCCTATATCTGGATCATGAAACAACATAAAAAAACTTGGGCAAACGCATATTTTCGAGGATATCGATACAATCATCTGACATTGAACATCTTAGAATCATTTAACAAGTGGATATTAAAGGCTCAGGAGAAGCCTGTCATTAAACTCCTTGAATGCCTAAGGGTTAAACTCATGGGAGAATTTTCTAAGAAGATGACCAAGTCCTTAGAATGGAGCAGCATGCTTACACTAAAGGCCTAAAAGGTAATAAATCAGCGGAGGGATAAGTTCAAATTCCTTTGTATAGTCATATGGGCACATGATGGTATGTATGAAATCAATGTGAATAAGGAATATGTTGTTCATCTGATGAGACATACATGTAACTGTCAGGTATGGCAAGTTAGTGGGTTGTCATGCAGTCATGTGATCATTGCTATAGATCAGGATGTTACATAATATTGCATTTATTTCACAGTGGTATGTACCGTAGATCATATTCCCTTCCCTTCAACCCTACGCCTGATGCACTTGAGTTGCCAGAGATTGTTTATACAACAGTACTGCCGCCAGTTGCAAGGCGAACTACATGTCGGCCAAAGAAACGACGCAGACAAATAGAGTACAAAGAGAATAGCTCTTAAGTATAGCCGCTGTGGGGTCATGGCTATAACAGAACGACATATAAATCAAGTATTTAAAATGATGTAAAGAGGTCAGTAATGCCAATTGATCTTCTTTTATATGCCTTTTTTATTATTTGAATATGTAAAGAGGCCAGCATTGTCAGTTGATGTTTTTTAATATGCCTTTTTTGTTATCTGAATTCGTAAAAAGGCCAGTAATGGCAGATGATCTTTTTTTATATGCCTTTTTTGTTATATGAATTTGTAAAGAGGTCAATAGTGTCAGTTGATATGCCCTTTTGTTTCAAATTATGGAATCTCTAAAGTTGATTTTTATGTTCCTTTTATCACAAAGGTAAATGGTCTCATTTCATAGTTCACATTATGACCATTGAATGTGAAATTTTATCCAACTTGTGACACATCTAAGCTATCAATTTCATAAAAGAGGACTTATTCACATACAACAGTCACATGCATGTGTTGTTTAATTATTTTAAAATTGTTGAAGTCATTACGGCCTTTCTTTTACTGTAATGCCAAGTTTGAGAATTACTGCAAAAACATATCGTAATACTCATCACAGTTTTTTCTATACCGTAATAAACAGTCAAAACATTGCGGTACTTTCAAGACCGTAATGCTCCAAACTCCATAAGGTTTCTAGTAGTTTTTTAGCATTACATTTTTGAAAGTACCGTAATGCTATTGCTCATAATTCTGTTACACAAAAGACCGTAATAAGCATTACGGTGTTTTTTCTACCGTAATTATCAGTTTTAACATTATGGTACTTTTAATATCGTAATGCTCAAAACTCCAGAAGGTTTCCATTAGTTTTTGAGCATTACAGTCTTGAAAGTACTGTAATGCTATAGCTCCTAATTACGATACAAAAAAGGCCGTAATAAGCATTACGGTCCTTTTTCTACTGTAATGATCAGTTTTTTAGCATTATCGTACTTTTAAGACCGTAATGCTCAAAAACTACATAAGGTTTTCTAGTAGTTTTCGTGCATTACGATATTAAAATATCATAATGCTTGAACTAGACATTACGGTAGTAAAAAGACCGTAATGAGTATTACAATCTTTTCTTTACTGTAATTCTAAAATTGGGTATAGCGGTAAAAAAAGGACCGTAATGACTTTGAACACTTTTTTTAAAAAAATTGAACAACACATACTTGTGAAGTAGTATGTGAATAAGTCTTCTTTTTTTAGTTCGAGAAAATTTCACATTAATCTTAACTATTTGGTATGAAATTGGGTGGTCATTTACCAAGCTCAAACTTCAAAAGAAATTTTCTCGAACTTTGTGACACATCCAAGCTATGATATAAACTCATTGAACCAACAAAACACAAATATACAAAAAATATACAAATATCACAAAATATTGATATTTCAACTTTTCATAAATATTGTACATATCACAAAAAAAACAGTATAGGCACTACTAGCCTTGACCTCTTTACAACAAAAAAACATAAAATACAAATCATCATGAACACTTTCGTCGTACTAGCAACATCTCACCCCACTGTGACAACTGCAATTGTGTATTTGAGCTTCTCTCTTATTGTCTTACCACACAAAGACGTAACTGCCATTTAGGCTCCTTTGCTTGAACCGGTGTGGGGATGGGTTGTGTATTACTTGGCCCCTCATCTAGTCGAGAAGGTTGTTATACTGGTGGTGTGTTATCTTCCATCTCATCATCCAACTCCAATTCTTCAGATGTATACTCATCCCCTGTAGCTTCTAGGTCATAAATTTTCAATGATTCTAATACTTCTCCAATTAGGTCCCTATTCCTTGAATTCTGACCTTCACGTACAAGTTGAGTTGCATGGTTGATATCCCTAGGCTGCATCAAGATTATGAAAATAGATTAATCAGACTTCTAAAATTAAAGTTGCATGGTCAATGTCCCTAGGCTCTATCAATATTATGAAAATAGATTATTTAGACTTCTAAAATTAATGAGTCGTGAACAAAATAGAAACAATTCTAAAATATTCTTATCATTCTATCTTCATCATTATAACATCGAGGTATGTATTTGGAGGGGCATTTCCTATATGGATTATGGATTAAGAGCTTAGTCCTTAGCCTGTTCCACTCGATGTATTCTTGTGTCGGCTTTCCATTGAACATATCTTTAGCTGCCTAACACATATAATCTAACTTGTTTGTCAACATATCTATTTCATTTCGAAGCTCGACTGCTCAGTTCTTAGGCCCCTTCCCCTTTCTCTCCCTCCTCTCCCACTAAAAGGGATCAACCGATATCCCTTAGTGAAGTCCAAATTACCAAAGCACACGATTTGGCTTGTACCCTCACAAATGTGTCCACATAAGAGGTATGTACGACACAAAGCAATCTGATGAATAATAAGGTCCTATCCTCTATCCTCCTCAATTTCCTCTCCTACATTAGGATAATCATCATATGGGGTCTATATGACATGACTAAAAAATAAAAATTTAAGTTAAATAACTTGCACCAAAATTTATTAAAATATAAATAAAGTCAATGGTAACTATTATATATTAGCATCATTTATTTGCACATTATCGGAGTCATATCGTCCCACAAAATGGAAGTTGTGAGAGTTATTCAATTCTCTAGGAGGGGCTCACCTGAGAGATTTCGGATTCCCTACCCTTTTTTCTTTGGGAATTTGGCGCAACAATTTGAAATGCTCATACGCCCAACACTGAATTGCATGTATAAAAAATAAGTATTACAACAAATAATATATATCAAACTTTGAAAAAACAATCAAAACATTATCAAACTAGCATTACCAACACTTAGGTGTTGGTAATCAGAACAAACAACTTTTGACAAGGCTCAAAACAAACAAGCTAGGGCCACTACACCCCATGCATACTAACCAACTACAGCCATATCCTCAAAAGGCTGTAAATATATTGTAGGCACCGTACCTTCTATGGAATCCGCAAAGATTGTGCAACTGACTAGACATAGAAGGTAGGAACGAGTGTGTCGAAAAAAGGTGGTACGGTTATAGTTCTGTTGCAGCTGTCTAAAAGTGTTCCTCAACCATGTCAGACGAATAATAGAATGGTTAGCACTAGGTGGTAGTTGTCCTATCATGCAGAATATATAATCATCATACTATTCCACTCTCCTAAGAGTTACAGCTACACTAGCCACCTTTAACAGGAGAATTTTTCATACATCTTCAAGAGTAGGCATCATCTTTCTGATGTCTATATTGAACTGCCTGGTGTTCGTCTCTACATACCACCTCTCGATCATAGTAGACAAAGTGCCACGGTCGTAGTGAATACAATTCTAATCTCCTTATCAAATCAATTTGATCATTGTTTTATAAAGGCCATAAAGTAATTGCATTGGCCTTCTCATCAATTCTAAGGGGATTTTCTCAATCCTGAATTGGAATTTGTGATTTCAAATATTAGAATAAATAAATTGATTAACCAACATGATAAGCAAAGAATATAATTTGGAACATGTGCACATACTTCTCCTTCCTAGATATTTTGTGATATATGTTGTCTCTGTCTATTGAGCAATGTAGGAATCTCAGGACCTCTAGGACAGGGTACGCCTTCGGCTAGGATCCCTATTAAAAAAATCCATCATCATGCATTTTCAATCAAAACACAACTTGGACGTATATGGTCAAGTTCGTGTGAAAAAAAATGAAATAATAAATAGCATAAGAAGGGGGGAACAAATAACAGCCTTAAAATGATGATGAGGATCATCATCACAAACTAAAATCAAGTACCTAAAAGAAAACCATATCTTAAGGGGCATTTGGAAAAAATACAAAAGAATATAACATTGTAAAAGAACAATCAGTTGATGAAGAGTATAACAAACTAAAATAACAGTCAGTAAAAGAGCAATGTATACCCTTCATTATATCTAATGTAATAATAAACAACAATATCATGGTAAATAGACTATTACTAGTCTATCAGACACCTTTACAAGAACAAATTTGCGGTAGCTCAAAAACGCAAGTTCAAACCCACAAATATGTAAATATGTTAAAGTAAAATGCTTATAGAGAAAGATATGACCATGAATAAGAAGCAGAAAAAACATGCATAGATCACTAGAAAGGCATGAGCAGATCATTAGAATGCTTGTATCCTAGAAAATGAAGGAGAAATTATAGAAACAATTATGACAGATGCTTCATGCAGAGAAAGAGAAACAAGACATATGCATGCTCATTTCGGAGAAAAAGTAGATAATCCAAACATTGAAGTATACATCTCTCATTGGAATGGAAAAATCAAATAAACCCATAGATGCATGCTTGTCATGGAATAAAAAATCACCACGAAAGCCCTCAAAAAAAAAAAAGGTACAAGATTAAATCTTTTAGCTCCAAGCTGTTGAAAAGCTAATTGAGAAAAGAAAAAAAACCAAACCCAAGCTTCTGTTTTGAATAGAAAGAGCAAAAGCTCCAGATTGAGAGAAGAGAAAAATGAAAACTTAGATCACAAGAAAAAAATGGAGATTAACAACAATGCATAAACCCTATTTACATAAATAAATTTGAGGGTTTGCAATATCAAACCACAAACAAAGCCTTGGTTTATGCAATCAAAGAAAACTACCAGTGCATGTATACCAAAAGATTTGATAGTGATCTCGAGGTATCTTCAGGCCTTTTACTTCTTGTAGCAATAGAATGAAAATAATCATGATCGCCCAAACTAAAATTAAGTTCCTAAACCCATAATCCCTATTGCATAATACTCATCAACCGTATTCAAAACATCCAACCTAAAACCAAGTTGATAACCACCATCATAGCAATAGAAATCAAATTGAACTGAATCAAAACCATATCAACCCAAAATAGTACAAAGCACTCATTTCAACAATGGCAACACCAAAATCTCATTCCAAAACAAGCTAAAAAAAAGTGAAAAACTTGCCCAATTCAGAGAAAAACCTTAAAAACCCCAATTTTCACCGCACTTACCCTATATTGGTTGAAATACTACAAAGTACTAAAAAAAAAACAAAATTGGGAAAAGCTTTCTTACCAAATAAGGAGAATCTGATGAGATGTGCGAATGAGGGAGAAAGAGAACCCCTGAGAAATTCAGCGCAAAAAATTTTGAGGATGAGGAGAAGAACAGAGCCACTCTGAAACGGTAGAAACATAATCATAAAGAAGAAAAGGGTTTCAGGCAGGGTTTAGAGGGTGGGATACTATTACGGCATTTCAAGTGCCGTAATAATACCTCAAGTCCTTAAGGTATTTTAAGTACCATATAACATGGGTTAGTTTTTACGGTACTTAAATTACCGTAATGGTACTTCATGGTAATATGGCTACCGTGAAAGTTATTTTGAAAACAAAATGTTCAAAATTGAAGAAAAAGGGTGTTGACAAGGTTTATAAATGTTGTGGGTTTTTTATGAATAGATAAAAATTAATATTTATGATAATTTCCCTAAAATAAATAAATAGAAAAGTAAATAAAAAAAGATAAGAGAATATACCCTCTTTCAAAGTTCGCATGGGAGTTTGCCCAAAATGGTCTTTTGCAAAATCCAAAATAATTTTTGCTTCTCTTGTCTATATGTTTTACTGATCAATAGTTACATATTTATAGAAGAAGGCAACTCTTAAAACCTAACTTGCTCTTAAATCCTATGTCACGACCCTGCCCCCTGACCCCTACCGTATAAGCTGGAGGTAACAAAGTGTGGGACTGCAACCAGAGGTAACGAATGCCACTCAGGTGGGAGTGCGTTCAACGCTCTTTAGAAGGCATAATCAAGCAAACCACAAAAGAAAGCAAAGACCAACACAAAGGTACAAGAACTAGACAAAATTAAAAACCAAACTATAAATATACAAGTTCCAAAATTTTAATTACAATCATGTCCAAGGCACTACAGGCCCAACCACAAAATACAATTCTTTAAACAAAACAACTACATGACTACCACCAACAGACACCTACTATCAGGATAAGGCCTTTCTTTCCAAACTTGAAACTTCAACCGTCGGCCACGAGTGCCCAACCACCTGCTCTCGAAAACCGTAAGTTGTTACTCTACACAGAGAAAGTCAAAGGGATGAGCTATAAAGCCCAGTTTATCAAAGTTCTTTAACAATGGTGGCAGAAGTGTAAATCAGATATCAAAATATTATACATTGCATGAGCTGATAGTCTATCACATATTTTCATCAAAATAACATATTAGTAATGCAAGCAAACCACATAGTGCATACATGCAATCTTAGTGTCGCTTACTCCCAAAGTAGAAGTCAAGCCAATCATGTTCCTTGGGACTTCTGCCCAAACTGAGGAGGGAAGACGATGACAAATGGATGACCCATTTTGTAATGTCTTCACACAAACATACACACACACTCCCCAATGTTCTTTGGAGCTTTTCATAAGTTGTGGCCTTGCAAGACACGACCTTCTCCTTATGCCCTTCCGGCGAGAGTTTTACAATACCAATGGGTGAACCAATGCATAGTGCCCATAAAAATTTGGGGGGCGCGACCCTCCCAATCATTCATATTCACCTCTGAACTCCCTTCCTATCGTTGGGAGTCAAGGGAAGAACTTAACTGTCGGCCTAACATCCTTATCATATCATAACATATTACACTACCAACGGATGACCCGTTGAGTAGTGCCTTATTCAGTAATCTCAAAATCTGATGCTATACTACCAATGGATGTCACATTGCGTAGTGCTTCATATCTCAGTCTCATCATATCAGATCCCTACTACCAATGAATATCCCATTGCGTAGTCGTTCATATCACAAACTTATCATATTTGATGACAACTACGCACATGCATATCTCATAAGCATT